TTGGTCTTTCTTCTCACAGTTCTGCTAGATATCAGGCTTTCATGGTGATTCCCTACTAAGCGAAGCTATTGGTGTTTCCAGCCTGCAGGACCATTTAATCAAACCCAACTAATCTGGTATATGCTGTAGGAATTCTTATTGGACTACAGTGGACCCCCAGTTAACGATATTTTTTCACTCCAGAAGTATGTTCAGGTGCCAGTACTGACCGAATTTGTTCCCATAAGGAATATTGTGAAGTAGATTAGTCCATTTCAGACCCCCAAACATACACGTACAAATGCACTTACGTAAATACACTTACATAATTGGTCGCATTCGGAGGTGATTGTTATGCGGGGGTCCACTGTATTTGACTTTATTGAAACAATATTTCTTCAATTTACTATTAGTCATTTAAGAAAATAAGTAAGTTCTGTTGTTAAAGTAATAGGGATTTGTAATTGTTACAGTAATTGGGATGTTTAATCTGAAGGCATTTGAATGTTGTTCATTTTTTAATGTTTAAAAATTACCAATTTGTGCACTAAGGAATTTGTTTAATGCAAGAGGTTTTAGTAGATTGGGTATATATTGCAGTGTTTATAAAAAAAATTTTTAAATAGCTAATTATTTATGCTTTAAAAACAAGCCATTGAATTTTAAATTTGCAACAACTAATTTTTAATTAGATTGTGTATGCTGTCATTTTATACAGATCTCATTTGAGACATGTAAATTTTTTATGTGAAGCATTGCGGTTGAAATATCGTTTTGGGAATAGATTTTACTTATTATTCAATTTTTTTTTTAACTTTGGTTACTAAGCATACACAGGATACCAGTGTTCTATTTTATCCTCAAAAGAATCTGAACCTTAGTTTAAGATACAGTGGAACCTCCACTAACGAGTTTAATCTATTCCGTGACCTTGCTCGCATTTGGATTTACTCGTTTGCAGAGTCAATTTTCCTCATTTAAGTTAATTGAAATGGAATAAATTCATTTCAGTGGAATTCCAGGCACTATAAAATACTTCAATAATTTCCCTAATATCAGCTCTATGGCTTATTTATCCATCACAATTCGTCTAGTATGACATAATAATATAAATAATATAGAAACCTGATATATACGTACTCTAGAATGAATAAAATGTCATATATGTGGCGGTGTCAGTGGCCGACGAGAGTTTCTCTGGAGACAAGACAAAATACTCCTTGAATATTTCACTATCATCAACTCTAAGGCTTATTTATCTATCACAATTCATCTAATATGACATAAAAAATATAAATAACATAGAAACCTCATATACACTCTAGAATGAATAAAATATGTCATGTGACAAGTGGTGGCGGCCATAACCGCTCCAACATTGTTGTGGTAAACACTGTCATCTAGTGACAGCCTTTTGAAGCCGTGTATTATTATAGTTATTATTATATAGTACATTGTTATACATATGTATATTATACATATATTGTGATATTGGCAGTTTGGAGGGATATAAGACCATAAGAAAGAAGGAACACTGCAACAGGCCTACTGACCCATGCAGAGCACGTCCATGTCCCCCCCCCCCCCAGATTAGCCCAAAGACCCACCCAGTCTGGTCATCTTCACTCAAGGATGGAGCACTGCACCAGACCCAGCAGTACAAGCTAGTCAGGTCCAACTCACACCCACCCACACCCACTCATGTATTTATCTAACCTATTTTTAAAACTACACAACGTTTTAGCCTGAATAACTGTACTCGGGAGTTTGTTCCACTCATCCACAACTCTATTACCAAACCAGTGCTTTCCTATATCCTTTCTGAATCTGAATTTTTCCAACTTGAAACCATTGCTGCGAGTCCTGTCTTGGCTGGAAATTTTCAGCACGCTATTTACATCCCCTTTATTTATTCCTGTTTTCCATTTATATACCTCGATCATATCCCCCCTAATTCTACGCCTTTCGAGAGAGTGCAGATTCAGGGCCCTCAGTCTATCCTCATAGGGAAGATTTCTGATACATGGGATCATCTTTGTCATCCTCCTCTGTACGTTCTCCAGAGCATTTATATCCATTCTGTAATACGGTGACCAGAACTGAGCAGCATAGTCTAAATGAGGCCTAACCAAGGATATATAGAGTTGTGTATCTTTATATGTACATGTATATGCTTCTGAACTGTTGTACGTATTATGAACACCTCTGCAAAAACAGTCATTATGTGTGAGTGAGGTGAAAGTGTTGAATGATGCAAGTATTTTCTTTTTGGGTCACCCTGCCTCGGTGGGAGACGGCCGACTTATTAAAAAAAAATACGCATTATAATAATAATATTATTATTATACTGTTATTATATGTACATGTATTATTATTATTATTATTCTTTTTATTATTATTATTATTATTATTATTATTATTATAATATAAATAATTTGGAATTTTTATTCACACAAAAAATAGATTTACTATTATGCAGACCGCTGCATTAGTGTAATAATTGTATAAATAATGTCAGTCCATTCATGACTGCATATTGGCATGGAGGTGACGTCATTTGTTTACTCTTGAACATCGACAAAAATAGAACATTTCTACTATATTGAGCTCATTTTCAAGGTAATTCTCTGTGTGAAACCAATCAAAATCATATCTATTTTTATAATATATCTTTCATTCTATCAAATGAGACCAAAAAAAACGAGAATACAACCGTAAAAACCATATGAAAATACCACTAAGGGGCAGCTTATTGCTGAGAAATGAACTCCATTATTTATGGTCCGATTTCTTTCATTTTTGGAGTGCGTTACGAAGCATCTTTCTATCATACATTGCCCAAGTTTCCATAAGATCGCCCAACAAACAAATGAGATCCAATTCCCTAGATCAAGAGCCCCTCACCAGCGTCAAGGAACCTCCTTTGAGGCCTGCTCACTAATGGAAATTTTGCTTGCATGTGGAAGCAAAAAATCAACCAATGACTGCTCGAATTTGGAAAAACTCGCACATGGATGCGCTCGCAAGTGGAGGTTCCACTATATTGATGTATTGTTGGACACCCTCAACTAGGATCTGTCAGGACCATGAGGATTATCAGAGTATCAACCTTAGTTTTGACATTATTTGTGGACAGTATAGTTATATTCTTTTAGTATTTATGCCAATTGAAATTTTACACTATTGTAAAAGCATAAATTAGGAAAAAAGGGAGTTGTATGGGATCGAATATTGACAGACATGTGCTGCAACTACACTTGAGATTTTACTTATTTTTTCTTTTTCGAAACCAAAGTACTGTACCATTGCCAGCATACACAGATAACCCACACATAGAAGAGAGGAGCTTATGACTACTTTGTAAATGGTCCAAGCTGCACCGAAACGTTGTCATAAGCTCTTCTATGTGCGGGTTATTTGTGTATCGTTCCAGTCACGGTATTGTGCCATTTTTTTGTTATTGCCAGCATGTAATACATCCTATCATTGTCTTGGCTTTGGCTATATTTTATTTGCTTTGGGGCACTGACCCCCTACAGGTTTAACATGTCCTGATTAAAAGAAAAAATTTCTGTAGCTGCCTTCAAGATATTGGCTTAAAAAAAAAGATCATTTACTGTACACATATGCAGCCCTGTATGACCCTAGTGGATATAACACTTAGTTATGATTGTAATAATGTTGTGCACACACACAGTTGGGTTAATGGGGACACCTCAGAGCAATTAAAATACAGGAACTAGAACAAAGAATCTAATCTATATATGGAAAATGTTCCAAAAGCAGATACTTAATCTGCACAGTACAAGGTGCTATCAAAGAGTTCCTGGACTGCTGGGAAAAAATATTTAGTCTTCCTTAATTACCAAATTGAAGTTATCTTGAAGTCCTTTCCCTGGGAGGTTATACATTGATCCCAGCCTCTCTGCCACCTGAAAAATTTTTGGAACTCTTTCCTAACTCTGTCTAGTGTGTCCTGCGAGTCTGCTTGAATCTCCTCCACATCGTTAATATGCCATCCATCGAGTGCTGTTTTAAGTCAGGAAGCAAGGCACAAATTTTGCAGCCACTTGCCTATGTTCAAATTTTCAGTCAGAATGCTTTGACATAACCTGTAAGAAATTCTCACAGCACCTGCAGTTTTCAGGCTTCTTGTATGATTATCTTCATGAATACCCCTCATCACTTTTTCAGCGTTGGCAGCTTTTTGAGGATGGATAACCAGAGTGTTCCTCATCTTCTGTTGGCATTCATCCTGCTTTGAATTGAGAAAACCATTCAGGACATTGTGTTCGACCCAAAGCTTTGTCACCATATGCTTGCTGAAACATTTTGTGTGTTTCACTAGCTGTTTTATGAGCTTGAAACAGAATTTCACATTTGCTGTTCTTTTGAAGGTTCTATTGTTACACAAAAAATTGCAACAATGCACTAACAGCATGACAAGAAATGCCCATCTAGTCAATGGAATGACTGCACTGAAACTCTCCACACTATTAGTGTAGTCTATGCTGCTGTCATGGTTCACCCAGGAAGCACGCAGAAATTAAAGTCCAAAAACTCTTTGATAGCACCTCATAAATTTTAGTGAGAGCTATGGAAAGAAGTGTAGATAAATACGGTACATACAATAAAAAGTAAGGTGCCATCAGAATTGCATGACCATATCCTACCAGAAGATAAAAGATTTTACCATTATGAAAGGTAGGTCTTAAAAAAGGAAGCTGGGAATTTTCTGCAAGCAGTGCCTGATTAGTTGGGCTTTGATGACTATAGGCCATTGGAGTTCAGATAGCAATAAATTTGCTGATCAGGCATGTAATGGGGAAGTATGGTCGTAGGGCAGGCTTAAAAAGTGTTGGGTTACATAAATATACATAATGAACTTAAGAAAAATGTATTAAAAGAATTTTATTGTTAAGTTTTGAAATAGTTGTTTTTGTATTTGTAATTGCTTTTATATTTCTCTTCATTTCTGAAATTTAAATCTTAAGCTTTATACTGTATAAACATTTATGCAGGAGTTTGAGATCATTGACTTCTTCCTTGGACCTAAGCTGAAAGATGAGGTATTGAAGATCATGCCTGTCCAGAAACAAACCCGTGCTGGACAACGTACTCGCTTTAAGGTAATTTTTAAAAATTTAAAAATAAATTTATGCAAGTAAAAGTTGTGTTGATAATGCAGTACTGCATTTAGGATTATATTTGAAGTAGTCTTTAAAATAGAGCAATTATTACCCTGTATCACTTCTGTCTCAATGGATCTGTTCTATGACAAACATAGTAATGGTGGGCTTCATACTTGTGTGTTATTCGTGGGCATCAGCCCAGTTGCCCTTGTACATATTTTATGTGTATGCAATGATTTCATGATTGTCAGTTTCTATGAAAGTTTTATCCATTGATCAATAAAATATTAGGAGCATTAAAAGAGTACACATATGAGTACATAGGATAGTTATGGGTACTAATGGCACTGTATATAAAACTTGCAGTTTAATAGTTCTTGTATCTCATGCAAATTAATTTTCTATTTCTGGAAATTGTAATTATGTGAAATTTCAGGCTTTTGTTGCCATTGGAGACTTTGATGGACACATTGGTCTTGGTGTGAAATGTAGCAAGGAAGTTGCCACTGCTATTCGTGGTGCCATAATTTTGGCAAAGCTATCTATTGTCCCTGTTAGACGTGGTTATTGGGGTAACAAGATTGGTAAACCCCACACAGTGCCTTGCAAGGTAAGCACATGTTTTAGTTAATTTTATTTTGCAGTAACTTGCATTTTCCAAATTTGTTAATCATATAAATGCTTTCTGTACAAAACCATAACCAGTATTTAACTTTGTAAAAAGTCAACAGTGCTATACAGACCTTAGATTCCTTGACAAACCCTCATGTTTGGAAATGCATTGCCAAACACAATAACCCTTGACAAGTGTACTATTACTTTTGTTTTTTTCCCGCAACACTAACTTTAACGCTATGCCTTTAAAAATATTGTTGCTACTATATAATTATTATGATTGTGTGTGTAAAGGTAGAAAGTTGAAAGTGAACATAGAAAAGACTAAGGTGATGAGGGTATCAAATGATTTAGATAAAGAAAAATTGGATATAAAATTGGGGAAGAGGAGTATGGAAGAAGTGAATGTTTTCAGATATTTGGGAGTTGACGTATCAGCGGATGGATTTATGAAGGATGAGGTTAATCATAGAATTGATGAGGGGAAAGAGGCGAGTGGTGTGTTGAGGTATATGTGGAGACAAAGAACGTTATCTATGGAGGCAAAGAAGGGAATATATGAAAGTATAGTTGTACTAACACACTTATATGGGTGTGAATCTTGGGTTGTAAATGCAGCAGTGAGGAGGCGGTTGGAGGCAGTGGAGATGTCCTGTCTAAGGGCAATGTGTGGTGTAAATATTATGCAGAAATTTTGGAGTGTGGAAATTAGAAGGTGTGGAGTTAATAAAAGTATTAGTCAGAGGGCTGAAGATGGGTTGTTGAGGTGGCTTGGTCATTTAGAGAGAATGGATCAAAGTAGAATGACATGGAGAGTGTATAAATCTGTAGGGGAAGGAAAGCGGGGTAGGGGTCGTCCTCGAAAGGGTTGGAGGGAGGGGGTAAAGGAGGTTGTGTGGGCGAGGGGCTTGGACTTCAGCAAGCGTGGTTGAGCGTGTTAGATAGGAGTGAATGGAGACAAATGGTATTTGGGACCTGACGAGCTGTTGGAGTGTGAGCAGGGTAATATTTAGTAAGGGGATTCAGGGAAACCGGTTATTTTATATACCCGGACTTGAGTCCTGGAAATGGGAAGTACAGTGCCTGCACTTTAAAGGAGGGGTTTTGGGATATTGGCAGTTTGGAGGGATATGTTGTGTATCTTTATACGTGTATATACTTCTAAACTGTTGTATTCTGAGCACCTCTGCAAAAACAGTGATTATGTGTGAGTAAGGTGAAAGTGTTGAATGATGATGAAAGCATTTTCTTTTTGGGGATTTTTTCTTTTTGGGTCACCTTGCCTCGTTGGGAGATGGCCGACTTGTTAAAAAAAAAAAAAATAGTATGTTGTTATAAGTGAACCTATTTCTTTTAAAATGGAATGTTAATTTTGTATACTTGCTCTCCCCATAAGTGTGATCAGTTCTTATGCCAGAATCAAGCCTTACATTTCAATATAACTAGGTATTAAAAATAGTGTCATTTTCTGCTACATAGGTATTTTCCTCAATACAGCTAGGGTTCTGACTGGTGGGTCATATAACTCCATAACAACCTCATTTGAAAATGGAAATGAAAGACTGAATTTGCAAAAGATGAATAAGGAATACTATAGGAGCACTCATCATGACTTGCAAAATCATAATGACACTATTATAAACAAACCACAGTATGCGTGAGGCTTGAACTCTCGGCAAGGGAGTCGTGAAACTCCAGGCCAGAGCGTAAGCCACTGGGCCAGCTGGCTACAGTGAGGTTCATCCAACTAGGTATTATTTATACACCATAGGGAGGTTAGCATAAGTCCCACTGTGACCACAAATGTAAGTTTTTACAGATGAATCTCCTGCCAGCATGGCCATGATGAACTCTAGCTCAAGTCCCCCTCAAAGCCATCATCATGAATCACTAAATCATAATGACACGATTGCAAATAAACCCTGCCTTGGTGGGAGACGGCCGACTTCTTGAAAAAAAAAAAATGGGTGGGGATTGAACTCGCAGCATGCGAGTCTTAGCTGCAAGTTTAGAAAATTCGGAGCTTGTCCTGCATTCATAGTAGCAAGTTGACCTTGCTGGTGATATCCCTAGCATCTTTAGACCCTCTTTTCTACATCTTTACTCTAAAAGGATGGAAAAATTAGAGATTACTGTTGGAAGCACACACTGCTGTTATTGCCAAGGCAGCTGTGAGAGTAATATTGATGCAGCCACTGCTGAAACTAATTCAGCTTGGATTCTGAATTCCAGTCCTCTTCAAGGGGGGCTCCTTGGCGTGGTGAAGAGGCTCTTGGTCTGAGGAATTAGACCTGTCGGTCTTCTTCCTCAGACCGAACCTAATTACCCCCCAATCTCATCTCCCCCCTCTCCCATCCTCCTCTTTTTCCTTTCCTCCTCCTCCTCCCCACCCCTCCCTTTTGCCCTTCCTCTTTTTGGCCTTTGGGATTTCTCCCACAGGCGTGCTAGTTCCTAGGTAGGGGAAAGGATACCGGGGTCCATCCCATTCCGTTGAGGTTCTTGGCGGTGGCGTAGTTTGCCGTGGAATCTGGATCGCCTGGGGATGTCCCGATCCCTCTCCGGTATCCCGGAGTAGCTTTGGGTGTCTTTCGGGCGACAGGTGTATCTCTGGAAGCCACCTTTCGGATTCCGGGGGTGGTGGCCGAAGGAGGTATGCTTTGTGGCGGATATCCTGACCGCCCTCTCTTTTGTCCACCGAGGTAGCTCGGCAGATGTGAGGTTGCTATCCCGGATTGTTAGTTTATTAGCATGATGGGTAGGGTATGGCATGGGTTCCATGCTGCATCTGCGCTACTTGCGGTGCTGAGGTCCTCTTGGGTGCGGAGGGAGATTTCTGGCCCTTTCATGTCTCCTAGGAACTATCCCTCCCCGGTCCCCCTTTTTTTTATTTTTATTTTCTTTTCTTCTTTCTTTTTTTTTCTTAAAAACAAAAAGAAAGAAATAACCTAACCATGGCAGCCCTAGTCCATGAACCTCCTACCCCCGGGCCCCTTCTTGATACCGCACCCCGTTCTGACCCCGCCTCGTCTTTGGACCACTCTTCAGACACTTCTCATGCCTCTGTACCTCCTGCCGGTGCTGTTTCCTCACCCGCTTCAGGTACTGAGGCCTCGACTGACTCCTTCGATTTATCGGACCTTCGCTCTCCTCTGACTATGCTTCCGGCCTCTCCATCTACAGTGCGGCAATTTTCAAATCGCCGACCCGTTCCACGTCGGACCAACTCTTGTCCCACGCCTAAATGCCAACGACAATTACCTGCTGATGATACTTCTCCACCTTCTCGTTCTTCTCAGAAACGATCGACACGTCCTTCACTACCTTTCCACGCTCAGTTTCAGACTGAACAATGGACTAAATTCTTCACTTTACGACTGACTTCCTCTACTGCCTATCTTTCTGACCACAGTATTGGCAAGGCACTCCTACGCCACATTGGTAAAGATATTTCTTTTCATGCTCTTAAGAGCGGTACGCGCATCTTCACCGTACAGAATGCTACCCAGGCTCATGAGCTCTCTCGTCTTTCCCATATCAATACTGTTCCTGTCACTCTTGAAAAACATCATTCCCTCAATTCTAGTAGTGGTACCGTCATTCTGCCCCATACCATAGTTCAACAAAATTTCCAGACATGTGGCACTGACATTCTTGAACAGCTGGAACTCCAAGATCTCCCAATCCTCAAGGTAGACACTTACGTTCTTCCTGCCCGCGGGCGGAGACGATACCCTAGCAATGTGGCTCATTTAACTTTTGACAGCCAAGAACTCCCATCCTCAGTTTATATAGCAGGACATCGGTTACAAGTCCGAAAGGTGATCCCTACACCGCAACAGTGTAGAAATTGCTGGCGATTTGGCCATCCAGCGAAATATTGCAGATCTATCGCCGAATTCCCAGTCTGTGGTGCCGATGACCATTCTCATACGTCTTGCAATCGATCTCCCTCTTGCCTTAACTGTCATGAGGCTCACCCTTCGTACTCTCGCCATTGTCAAGTCTATTTAAAAGAGCAGGGGAAATCCGTTACCTCAAAGAGACAGAAGGTCTCCCTTATGCCATGGCAGTTTCTCATCTCCGCCTCCAAGGGAGACTCCCACGTGTTTCTTTTTCCTGTGTTTCAAAACGTCCCCCCACTTCTGGTATCCCATCTTCTACACCCACCTCTGTGGTTACCTCTCCCATAGTCACTCGTGTATCTAATCCTTTTGCTGTCCTCTGCTCAGACGTCCCTACTTCAATGCCTCAGTCTGATCTCGCTTCTTCGGTTCTCTCTCACAAGCCTCAGTAAAAGACGAGATCTCGTATGACACCTCCTCCCATCGTCCCTCTACTTCTCAAAAGTCAAAAAAAAAGGTCCGTTAACACCTCCTACCATCTTCCACCTCCTCATTTTACCCTCCCTGTCTCTGTCCTGGTTCTCCCCCTCTCACTGGCTCTGTTACAAGTGTAGAGGTTCACCCTCCTCCTCGTACTGTACCTTCCTCCCCTGTTCCCTCCCAGGTTTCTTCCTCTTCTGCCACCTCCCAGGTTTCTGCCTCTTCTATCCCCTTCCACGCTTCTCCAGTTCCCTCCACCCTTTCGACCCCCCTTACCTTGGTACAGTCCAATACAGTTCCAATCTTTACTCATCCTCCCCCTACCATTTCCAATATTGTCTCCCATACGACGTCTCTGAATTCCGAAACACTTGAAGCAATCTCTGAATATATTGCAGAGACCAAACCATCAATGGACACTGATCCACCCTCTGTTCCTTCTCTCTCCTCTCCTCCATCTGCGCAACTCCTTTCTTCACAGCGCACCGTTCCTTCGCTGCTTGAACGTTTTCCACTGCCTCCGCATGTGGACTTTTCTAACCCCTCTAGTCCTTAGGAACCCTTACCTGCGGATTTCAAGTATCTTTATCATTGCCAATCATGGCCTATTTACAGTGGAATATACGCAGCCTCAGGGGTAATCGGAGTGAGCTTCAGATGTTACTCTCCCATG